TGGTGTGACGGGGATTCGAACCCGCGACCCGCAGATTGCGAGTCGAGCGCCCTAACCACCTGGCCATGCCGGGCCGGCCTATAAGTGAAAGTAGCTTGTTGCAAACGATAAAGAAGAAAACTTATTTGTTATCGTTACGTTGATTAGACTTGGCATTACTTTTACCAAATAATCCAAATGAACCCTTCCGACAATAGAGTACGTTACAACAATATATTAATTGCCTATATCCTCGACAATCGGTAATTCCTAGATCTACTATTTCTAGGTAATGGTACTGAATTTAACTAACTTTTTATTTAACTAGTTGGATATCTATTAAAAACAATCAAGAATTGTCAAACGAAGGCTCATATTACAAGAATAACGAAAATAAAATATTTTATTTATTCCTGATAATAAGGACATGAATTGCAATACTTACAGCAAACTTTAATCTAATAAACCAGTACATATATATTTAAGGAATGTTTTAGATAATGACCATTTTTAATCTTAAAGCATTAAACCAATTTAATATTTTGAACCTACTAGTTCCTCTCACTAACTATTTGGCAACACATACGTTTACTTTAGACTAGAATACTTTATGTGGCATGATTGACACCCTTCCCAACGCTAATTCTACTAATGTCAGTTAGATGGCAGAGAGATCGCGCGGGATGGTGATATCACTACTTTACACGCTTTTCAGGCCATGGTTGTTTTAATAAGTGAACCAATCGTATTCTAGAAAGTACACCGTGTGACCTAAACTAAAAGCGATTTCTGTGAATCAATCAATGTAACATTTTTATAGCACCGCTACTAGTAGATAATTTATCCAAATCGTGATTTTTAAAAGTTTAACTTTTTATATTCTATCCTGTGTGTGATTGTGATTGAAAATGGTTTCTCACGGTATGAGGACTGGAAATAATGGCCTAATGTGTAAAATTGGACCATCGATATTGAATGCTGATTTATCAGATCTGTTTTCGGAATCTCAAAGATTGTTAGACAATGGAGCAGACTACCTTCATCTAGATGTTATGGATGGGCATTTTGTTCCAAATTTAACATTTGGTCATCCTGTTGTGAAGTGCTTGCGACGAAAAATACCTGAAGCATTTTTTGATATGCATATGATGGTTGCTGAACCTGATAAGGCAAGTACTTAAACTTTAGTTTAAAAATTAAAGTATGGTTGTATTTTCAATACCTATGAACAGTTAGTATTTTCTAGTATTAAATAATGCTGTATTCTGCGTTCCAGTGACATACATTAATGAATGAATTTAAAGATTTGAACGTTAATAATAGTAATACTAATACTTTAGCCTGGTCAGTATGAATCTGATTCTGATTACGTAGGCATAAGTATCACTATGCGATAAACATAATTTGTTAACATTGCGTTATAACTGTTATAATACGTAACATATTCACAGCACCATAACCCAAACACAAATTTAATAGTAATACTAATAATAGTACTTGTAGTGTTACTAGTAAACAGAAATACAAATATAATATTTTTTTTACTGGCCATTATTTTTTTATGTTTGAAAATTTAAATTGAAGTGAGAAAATATTAAAGAATATAAAAATTTGTGTTAAACAAAAGACTGTAATATGGCACAATTGTTTCTTGCAGAACAATGTGTTAGCATGTATAGATCTATCCTGTCTAGACTAGAATACTTTAGGCAAAATAAAAATAAAAAAAACATATTTAGCATCCAGAGTTTTCGAAAGAAGGAAGGAGGGGTCCTTTTTTGAAATGACATCTTTAAAGGAAAGTTGGCACCCATTTTTTCATGATTGTTACTTGTTTTCAAAGGATCCATGTCAAACAGAATGATACAGAATTTATGGCATATAAAGAAAAAGAGCAAAATGAATCTACTGTGTTCATCTCATTTTTTATTCAGAATTATTCTTTGTATGATCAAAAGAGGGGAAAAAATTGCCAAAAAAAAAGTGGGGAGAGGCAGGTGCAAAAGGGTAGAGATGCTGATTTATCAGATCTGTTTTCAGAATCTCAAAGATTGTTAGACAATGGAGCAGACTACCTTCATCTAGATGTTATGGATGGTAGTTTTTTTGTTTTTTTTTACTTGGCCTTAAATTGTGATATACTCTTTCAGTAGCATTTTGAATATCAGTAATTTTAAAACCAGTGTATCTCAGAAATGGCCTTCATGATGCAAGACAGCAAATGAGCAGTATTAAATTATGAAATTCTGTTTAGCAACTTGCTTTCTATTCCACTGAAGCATTGTTTATCATTGAAAAGAAAATGTTGAGAAATGGAACTATATAAGAGCATTTGAATACTCTATTTTAACAATTGCTTTTGACACGTATAGTGAAACAAGCTGTCACTATGACAGGTTATGATTCAGTCATGTCCCATGTTTTAATAAAATGAACATTTAGAAAATATGAAGGTATCTTGGGAGAGAGAAATATTGATTGTATAATCTAAATGGAAAGAATGATAAAACTTGAAATATTTATTAATTTGGTTAAGTTAGCTGAACAGGTATCTACTCTTACCTAACTTTTGTGTTCCAAAGTATAACCTTTTCCTTACTGAATAAATAGAAGTATTAAAGTACTAATATATGAACAATTGTAGCTTAAGAGAATATAGAATTAAATATTACTGAAAGATGCTTAAATTACATGAAATAACGAAGTAAAAAAGCTATTGCTAAAGCATAGATGGTTTATGAAATGTTGTTGGCTCAACCATAGTTAAATTACAAGATTTTTATGGTTATGTTTAATTGCAAGAAAATGAATTAGTTAGATAAATGCTTACAGAATAGTGGTGACAAGTGATTTAAGAATATGACTGCAAGGGTCCATTAGGGATCTACTTCATTATTTTCTGGATATTGACAATTTGTATATCTTCTTGAATAGAAATGTTTCCAACTTTTTCAAAACACTGAAAAGAACTGATTATTTTACTATTGAAAGTTACCTTAACAGTTTTGATACTCAGGTGATTATGGAGACAAAAAAGAAGATGAATTTGTATGGAAGTGTGCTATCATTGATTAAACCGTAAAGCCCTTTGTTCAGTGTTTATCTGTGGTCAACATAGCAAATACTGAAGAAATGTTATATTTAATATCAAGAAAGCTATTGTAAATTTATAGAAGTCTGGTGAGGCCATATTTAGACTAATTTATGCAATCTTGATGCCCTTACTGTAGAAAAGGTATAAAATTGTTGAAAAAAATTCACAGAAAGGCTACCACAATGATCCTTGCTTTAAATGTATATGATATTAACTAAGAGGAGGTTTCAAAGTTTTGAACTTGTTTTCACCTGTGCAAAGTAAATTACTAATACATGTAAAAGTTATCAGATTCATATTTTCAAACTTGTTGTGGAGTTGGAATAATTCAAGTGTATGCTGTTCAATTAGTTATATGAAAGGGCTGAAAATACAACATTGAATATTATGAATAAAACGTTTAAGCTTTACAAGCCTATAGGGAAACCTTTTTTAAAATAATGTTTTTGCTTATAAGAAACAGACTTAAATTGGTTTGCTTGATGACTTAGGTGTTTTTAATTGGGTTTTCTTCAGTTTTTTGCAAGTTACGGTATGTAGATACGGGTTACATTTAACCTGGATTAATTTGTTGTTCTTGCAGGTGATAATGACCTCAAATGTCCATGTGACTTTCTGTTATATTAGTCGTTATTATGTTAAGATTTTATTTTGATAAGCACAGTTTCTATTTGAAGTTGTCTTGTTTCAAATTAAAAATTAATCAATATGTACATCGTTGTTGAAAAGCAGAAACTAAATTTCTTTTTTTATGTTTAATTGTTTGCTTGTTTTTATGTAAAAAAATAAAATGATTTAAGTAGTGTGATAAATTATCTATTCATGTGCATGTACATACAAAAACTATGCAAGTATGAAACATGCTTATAAACAAAATAACAAACTATATCTGCTGTTGTCTATAAACAATTCTAAATATTTCTGCCTTGTGCAAAATGTACATATTGACATGAAGTAAACTAAAATAAATACTCACTATTATGTAAAATAATATACTTTATATGTAAATCTGATAAAAGGACATTTGTTTCTTATATATTAACATCTTTCAGCAGAAAGAGTGACAAAAAGTTTTTTTTTGTCTTTTGTTGTTATTTATTCATTACCATTTAATTTCTAATGAAGGAAGGTTAGACAGATTTCAGAAAACACTTGGGTAAGTGGGTTTCTTTAAGTGTGATTAAAGGGTACCTACCATTATGATATTTTTTGTTTTCTAAGTATTACGTCTGAGCAATTACATTCATTCTTTCTTCAAAATGTTTCTTCCTTTCTTTCAGTGGGTCAATCCCATAGCAGAAGCAGGGGCTAATCAGTATACTTTCCATCTAGAGGCAGCAGAAGACACTCTTGAGCTCATTCGTCGAGTACGAGAGACTGGAATGAGAGTAAGGATTATACATTTAACTATTACCTAAGAAAGTACCAAGAAACAGATGTTTTCAAAAAATATTGATTACTAATTTTCTTTCTTTAATTTGAACAACATTTTTCAGTCATAAAAAAATCCTAATCAAAACCCAAAAATTCTTGGATTATAAATGTTCATAAGAATCTAATGATCATAAATTTTTTGGTTGATCGTCTTCTATAACATAAAGTTTTTGGTTTTTTAAACTTGAGGTAAAGTGTATGAAGCAATGCTTTAACAATGTGGAACCAAAAATGCTCTGAAGTGACTTGTTATAAAAAAAAAATTTTTAGGGGAGAAACTTTTCATTTGTTCCTCAGAAGACTATTTTAAACTTTTAAAGCTTACAGTAAGATAAAGTAAGGTGACTGAAAGACATTCACAGTATAAAAATTAATAGAAACAGTTTCTAAGCTAATTATTTGTAAAGTGTGTCAGTGCAAAAAATTATAATGCCCAACATATTATAAACAGGATACATCCATAAACTGCCGTTTATACATACTCATCTGCAAAGTTAGGTGAAGGTTGGTTAGTAAGTACCATGTATAGCTGTCCATATACAGGCTAGTGCCAGGCATGGCCAGATGGTTAGGGTGCTCGACTCGCAATTTGAGGGTCGCAGGTTCAAATCCCCGTCATACCCTTTCAGCCATGGGGGCATTATAATGTGACAGTCAATCCCACTATTCGTTGGTAAAAGAGTAGCCCAAAAGTTGGCAGTGGGTGGTGATGACTAGCTAGCTGCCTTCCCTCTAATCTTACATTGCTAAATTAGGGATGGCTAGTGCAGATAACCCTCGTGTAGCTTTGTGTGAAATTCAAAACAAACCAAACCATATACAGGCTATACTGTGTAGTTTACAGTGCCTGATGTTAATGTTAAAAATGAGTTGGGTATAATAATATAGTACTTTGTAATGTAATCCTGCAGCTGTTATCGTTTCCATTCAACATATTAATGTCACTTGTCCAGTTTAAGTGAATTGTCATTTGTGTTGTGTGTTATGTATCAATAAACATTTTCCAGGAATTCACAGTATGTCTTTTGATTCAAGCTAGTCAAGTGATCTAGTGCTTGAACATGAAGATTCATCACACTAGGAATGGATTGTCACATACTGATGAATTTCCTGCATGAATTTAACTGAACGATGCTAACCACCTGCACAATTTAAAGTTGGCAAACATAACTAAACTTCTTGGTTACAGATCACAGCTGTACTTCAAAATTATTAGTTAAAGTGTAGTTGCAAGTAATTTTTTGTCATTCAGAATATCATGATATAAAAGAAAAAATGTTTTTCCAATATGGTCTCACACAAAACTATCTTGATCTTCTTTCTGCCCCTAAAAATTTTTAACAAATTTTAATGCTTAGCATACCAGTCTACTTACCCCACAAATTTTGTGCCACTTTTGAACATGTATATATATCATGTGACCACCCTTCACCAATAGTATTGTTCCCCCTGATTTTCCCACTCAATCCTGACTTTCTCAATTGGCACAGCACCGTCTAGATGTGTGTTTTTTTGCACATTACCACCGTTTACGATTGTACTTTGCTGACATTTCACTACTTTTTTCAACAGTTTTTTTTACTGTGTTTGCATTCAATTATTTCAATTTGAATTTTTTTGCATTTGTTTATTGTTACCAAATTATACATTAACTTAAAATGGCTTCATGATTCAATCTATCAACAATGGAAGTTCCTGTTACAGTAGACAATGCTTCTGGTACAACTACCCAGGCATCAGGTTCAACGTTATCTGCTGCTGACGTACAGGCCTTAACTTGCAGGGAGCTAGATTTCCATGCTTGACTTGCGATTTCTTCTCCTTTCAACTGATGTTTCTGAGGATGAATACAATCAGGGAGAAGAAAATTGATTAACTTTTTCTGGCACCCTCTACACCTCTACAAGATATCTCACCTTCCACACCTTCTTCTATTTCTTTTTTTTTGTTACATCATCGATCAGAACTCTCTACCATTCCTCTTATCTTATCCTATATCTAGTCTGTTCCTTCCTCCCTAAGACTTCTGTTGCCTGGGGATGCTATTTGGTTCTTACACCCATTTCTTTACTTTTCATCTCTTACCTGTACTCCCATTCCGATCCTGATTGGCTTCTTTGTCAGATTCACTCCCTAAGGTGTTATGTGGCAAGTACTGACTCCTTTCAGGGTTCAAATTCCCACCCTTTTATTCCCTGGAATCTTTCTGTTTTCCATAATCTATCCCCACTAACTGGTTGTGTTTGTCAACTCCTTAGGATGGTGTATTCAGACTTACTGATGGAAGGTTGCTGTCTCCCAAAAGTTTCTTCTCATAAAATTTATCATATCACCATTTCTTTGGCTGCTTGTCTTCCCCTTTCATTGGAAGAAGTTGTTCATGATGAATGTGGACTACTCTCCCTATTCCTTGGTCTCTCATTATTTGCACTTTCTGGCTCTATCTTTCTCAAGTGGATATCATCTTCTTCCTGTGGCAATTCTACACATGTCTTTTCACAACATTTCATTTATATTTTCTTTTCAGGGACCCTCTTTTACCACTACCAATAGCATCCCACTCTATGGTGAGTGTTGCCCTATTTAGGTGTGCTTTCATTAAAATCCGCACTATATACTGGTAAAGCTATAACACTTACTGTAGGGATGGGGTGTTCTGCAAGACCACTAATGACATGCCTAGTGGTATATACTTATGTGTTTTTTTGTATCTGTAAGTTTAACCAAATGGTGGACTGCCACTCATGGACTATGATGATTAAAGCTAAGGGGGATTTTTGCCCATCACTGCTGACCCTTTGATTGCATAAACCGTGGATGGTCTGCTTGAGATAGTTTTGTGTGAGCAGAGTTAAATACCTATCAGAAATATATTTTCAGTGTAAGAAAATGTTAACATTTTTTAATTTGTCATATGTTTGCCTCAAGGAAATAGGTATGCTAATTTGAATGGAAACTCAGCAGCTAAATATGGTTTAGGCACAAAATGTTAAAATAGTTTTAAGTGGGGCATGTCAAAACTTGTGTTGCATGCATGAGAGAGCATGTAAAATTTTATGATTTTTTTTTTTATCTTTTTGTATTCTGTTAGTTTAAATTTCTATCTGGCAGGCAAATGAATATGAAATACTTTGGTTGGTTGTTTTGGTAGTTGGAATATTGAGTGATGGACAAATATAAGGATTTTTTTTAATATTTTAGTGAGAGTAGCCTAATACAGTGATTCTCAACCTGTAAGCCACGAGACACATAGTTGTGGGCCACCACAGTATAGGAAAACTAACGAGTCATCAGCTACAAATAACTAAATGGGCCTTGATGTGCAGAAGGTTGAGAAATCCTGCCCTATTACATGTACAGTGAAGATTATCTTGTGTTTTAGAAATCTTTGATGAAATTAATTAGATTGTTAAAAACTGTTGGAAAAATTAAGAGTAGTAGAAAAGTAACTTGGTGGTGAAAAACTTGTAATTATGAGAAATGTTTTGTTTTTTTTCACTACAAGGATACAATTACTTTTGGTGAGTTCACTTATGGTATATTTTTCAACGCACACACGTATATATAATATTCATTTTAATAATAACTTAGGAAGTAATATTTTTTTCGTCACTGGTGTTACTGAACATGTAAGAAATGGCTGATTTTATGGACATTGTTTCATTCATTAATGAATCTTCAACATAAGAATGTGAAAAATGAGCTTTGATATTAAGAAGAACATGTTGAAAGTGATTTTTTTGGGCTGTGAAAGTTTAGCAAAGACTTGATTCATACACACCTGTATGTAAAAGAAGCATTAGCATTGCTAAAGAAAAAAAAGAGAGACAAATTTACATGCAGGTGCAATTAGGGATAAAAGCATGAAATATAGGTTCATTTAACTGGGGAAAGAAATTCAAGAACTCTATAGAAATTTTGAGATTTGAGAATAATAGTTATTGTTCCTCATGAGAATTGTATGCAGTTTGACCTCTTGATGTAAGAGAAACATCCTAATGCTGTTAATGTTATTGAGATATCTGGCTTAAAAACTGAACTATGAATGGAGGCTTAAAGACTTGTTTACTTTTGAACATAAAAGAATCAGAGTCAAGTTAAAAGTTGTTTACAACTATGTGGGACTTAGCTAATCCACCTAATGCTTGTATGCACTGATATTTTAAAGTGCTGTTGCAAATTATTGTGTTCTGAATGTAAATGTGCTATACAGATTTAGATGTAAAAAGCTTCTAACTGTACTTGAGTTTTTCTTTCATCTTCACCAAAACTGTCATTTATATATTATCTATATTATACATTCAAGTCTATGCACTTTCTAGCTAGTAATTGCATGTGCAATGTAAAAATACTGATTTAGTAACAGAGAGGAAATACTTCTAAAGCATGAACTACGTATATCACTGCATGTTTTTATAATGAAAATGTATACATATGAAGGAATTGGCATTAAGCTCATTTATGTTTATTTATTAGTATAATAACACCTAGGCAATTGGATAGATTTTAAAAGGGTAATTATATAAAGATAAGACAAGGTAGTGTTTCAGCTGTCCTTCATGACTGTGAACTACTTTATGAACGCTACTGACTAACAGGTAATCAGTAACAAGATACAACAATATACAAAATAATACATGAAGTATTACATTTAGTATACGAAAGAATATCATAAAATCTTTTAGCCACTTTAAAGTGCCATACACGTACCTGGGAAATGTTGCAACATGCTGGAAATTTGGGAGTAAAATTATTAGCACAAAAAAGACAAGGTGAGCTGTTAAAAATAGGTTGATGAATGTTGCCACTGGGAAGCACATTTCTACACTAAGTATGCAATGTGACCTTCCTCATTCGTAACTACAGTATCCAGTTGAGGAATAATGTTAAAAACAGCCAATTGCAATTTATCCTGAGGAATGCAAGTTACTTCATATTGAATTACTTCTTCAGTGTGTATAGTGATTGAATAGCATTCTGGTAAACACTAGCCTTGGTGACCCCATAACAAGTAATCTGCTGGGTTGAGATTGGGTGACCACCACACTTTAAAATATCTATTTTACCAAACATTCCTCTAAACACCTGCTTCCAAACCATTGTGATGTGTGAAGGGTGCCTAGTGCTGCATGAAAATAATTGTTTCAGACACACCATGTTCTTGATAGCTGGTATGTCTGTTTCCAATAGAAAATTATAATATTTACCTTATAACAGTGTAAGTTTGTGATCCATTAGGCCCAGCTTCTTTAAAAAAGATTGGGCCTGTGATAAAATATGCAGTTGATCCACACCACAGTCACTTTAGGAGAAAATTGAAATTTTTCAATATAAGCATGAGAATTTTCACTTGCCTAAACTGCAATTATGCATATTCACACTCCACATAGTGTAAAATGTACTTTCTCATTGCATGATACTTTAAACATAGACATACTGATATTTATAGAGATTCTGTAAGGGTTGTTTATTAATGGTGTAGCATGTGTATAAGCCTAAACTCTGTAATATTACTTCATCTACAATGTTATTACAATCAGTATATTAAATAAATAGATATTAACAAATTTTGTATTGATAAAGGAAGTTTATAAATCATAGGTTGGCATTGCAATAAAACCAGGAACTTGTGTGGAGTCTGTTCTCCCATTTGTTGACAAAGTTGACATGGTGTTAATAATGACAGTAGAACCAGGATTTGGAGGACAGAGCTTTATGAAGGATATGATGCCCAAGGTATGGTTATGACAGTATATGTTGATATATCAATAGACTTTATTTAAACTGTCTCAGCTCTGAACATCACTTGACAAATCAACAACATAATTTTTAAAATGTTGATTTACAGTATAATAAATAAAAATTTACACAAATATGTGTTATGATTAGTTTTTATTAGAAATCTAGTGTTAACAATAATGTATTTAAAACAAACTTCAAACATTTTATTTCTTTATATTTTTCTTTCTACAAACAAAAAGGAAGTTAAAACTGAAGTTTATGGTCATTTATTGAAGATTGTTTTATCTTCTGCATTAGAAAGTGAGCAGGACAAATAGCAATATCATCAGGCTTATACAAATAAAGCCAAAACAAATTAATTATATTATCTTTGGAGTATGGTATTGCATATGTTATAAGTTGATAACCAAAAATTTTTTTATATGAACAAAAAATATTTTTCTTGCTTTATATCATAAACAATAGCCATAAAATGGCTTTATATTCACTTCTAATCCAGTTTTTTTTTTATTTACCTTTTTGGAACATAAGAAATACATGTTAATGCTAACAACTTGTACTAATAAAACTCGATGAAAACCGGTAGTCCAAAATGAATTTATTCATACTTTTGCCTAAGTATATTGGTGCATATAAAATAATTCAAAGTTACCAAATTTTACTATACATAGCAATCTATGAAAACCGGTAGTCCAAAATGAATTTATTCATACTTTTGCCTAAGTATATTGGTGCATATAAAATAATTCAAAGTTACCAAATTTTACTATACATAGCAATCTATGTTTTGCATACAATGTAGTGAATGTTTTTAAAGAAAAGTAATCACATATCAGAACCAGTATGTTATTCAAAATATAGAAATTCGTTTATTGCATGTACCCATTTAAATGAGTTATGTACACTTAGAACTTGCATGCAGATGAACACACATCATATTCTTACAAATTGAAAAGTTCAAACATATAAAGGCTACTAACTGTCTTTGGGTTACAAACATATAAAAATTACATAAATGTAAAAGAAACAGACTTACAAAATAAAACTGTACCAGTTTCACAACCTCTTCCTTCATAAAACTATTCATAGAAATGTTTTTATGAATCAGAATGTTTCTCAAATTTGTATTTTGTCAATGTTCGCAGTTACCAAACACTTTCATGATTCTACTTTGGGTTACATTCAGCATGGATGTTTTTTTGGATCCATCCCACAGTCTCTGTAAGATCATTGACTCCATATATCTAAGTTCACTGAGACTGTGATGATCTGTTTATTGTTGAAGGATTAGTTATTTATGTCAATTTTCCACAAGCCCACCACACAATATATATATATATATATCAAGTTGTATAAAAATTCCACTTGTATAAGTATACTTAGCACTTGTTCTTTTTAAAGTACGTGTATGCAGTAAGGTATTTCATTCATGTAGATTTTTTGTTTGTGTAATTATTTTATCAGCTACACCCATTCCTCCATTAAACATCATCTGGCTCTCCAGATATGCAATATTGGGCTTAATGGATTCTCTTCTAACGGAACAACAAAGGGTTTCTCGAGGTGGAACTTTAATCATTCATACTGTAATTTACTCTGTAGGAGGATTTATTCTAACATATAATTTACTAGTTAACAGCTGCTTTCAGTTTGTCTTTCATAAGCAATGTTATAATTTTATTCAAGTGGTCCAAATCGTGTTTATTAGGAGTGGTTGTTTATATTCATTTCTTAGTTTTCTACATAATTACATGCTTATCTTGCTTGAGCTTGTGCATGTGTGCGTATATATACACTTTCCTATCTTACTGATCCACATATATTGTAAACCTATATATATATATATATATACACATTTTACTTTACTAATCTAATATCTTATACACGTGTAACAATGAAAACAGCAGGAATGTACTTATTATATTCACATTAGCATAATTAAAAAGTTCACTGTACATTTAGGTTTTCATTTCTTTTTCTGATAATTTATGTAAGTACATTTTAATATTTTCTTTGGTATCATATGTATAGGAAAATTTGCAAATTTGATATTTTTGAATTCCTTATTTTTAATTGTTAAAAGTTTATTTTGGTAATATTTATATACTTTCTAAGCCTGTTGTACTTAACTTTTTTTCTTTGTAATCACTTCACAGATTCGTGTAATTTTTTGTCATTTAAAAGTAATTAAATTTCAGGTGAATTAAAATTTGCACATTCATGTGAGAAGATTAAAGATAGATCAATATCTGAAAAAAAAATTACTTGAGTTAAGGTTTCAATTCTGATTTTAGAAAAACATGAATGAACCAATTCTGTATGTTAAACACTGCCATTAACTAAATGAAATGGAACCCTTCGCTAGAAAAAATTATTTGGGTTGAAGTCTAGTATTAAAGCCATTTTGTCAATCCCACTGTCAACTAATGTAGTGGTGAAAAAATAAGGGTCAAAAGCATGACCTATTTTTTTAACTAGCATTATTATTAAAACTATTTGTTTTATTTAGTGCTTTGATCTTGAAACTTTTTCTTTCTTTCATGCAGAATAATTTGAAGAAAACAATGTGCTTTGTATTCTAAGTTGTGTCATGAACTAGAGTGAATTACTAAGGCTATGTATGATTAAAATAGACAGCTTAGTATATAAAGAAGAGAAGGAAGTAAAAGGAGGCACGTATATAGTATGTGTTTTGGTGTCAATAATTCTTCATTGTAAAAGATGCTTCTTAAAAACAGCTGAAGTGAATAAGTGATTGAAGAAAAAAGAGTAAAGAAATCACTAATATAAGGAACAAAGAAAAAATAAAGTAACCAATTATAAAAGAAATTGAAAAAAATCTAGAAACATGCAAAACAAACAGCGTTATGTTTATTTTACTGTGGTGCATACTGCCAAATTATATGTGAATATTTTTATGGAGGAAGGCAACTTAAATTTTTTATATTGTGTAAACTATACACAAACGAATTTTGTGAATAAATCACTGAAGGTCTTGAATTTTATAATAATTTAAGTGTAAGATGAGATTGGTACCTCATTATATTTCTGTAGTTTACCCAACAGTAATCTATACATAGTTTTGTATACATTGTAGTTGTATTTGAAGTGTATTACCACTTAATGAAATATTTAAACCTAGCATTATCAATAGGGTCCATGACCCATTTGCTATTAAACACAGTTTCTAAACTGTTTATGAAACACTTTATGTATGGGCCCATGATTTTGTTGGTTAAATCAAGTGTTTTGTAGGAGACCATCTATTAAGTTATGTTAGAAATAATATAACTTGAGATATTTTTAATAACTAGAATTTCATTCAATAAATGTCCAGTAAACTCAACAAGATGATCAAATAAAACTCCTCTTCTTCCCAAGTATCAAAAACAAACTTTGTCCAATACAATTCTGTTTTTTGTCTGCTAAGTTTTAGAGCTTTAACAGAAGAACCTGATTACTCAAATGTTTTAGGAAAGTAGATCTTCCTTCTTGAGAAGTGAAGTGAAGTAAATGGGACCAGTGACAAAAAAAAGTTACGCAACTTGATTTCCAGTTTACTCCAGAAGAAATGTCTGTCTTCCTCAGATACTTGAGTTATCAAGTTTCTTGCTTTGTGGCTTATCTATTCTTTGATACTATAAGATATAACTAAGCAGTTAGAGGAATTTTAGTCATTTAATTGTTGGATTCATAAATTGATTACATTCAACTAATCAGTTATTCTCAGATCAGACTTGGACATTTGGATTAATCAGAAATACTGATTTCGGTTAGTTGGTTATTTTTGTTGAGTCATGATACTGATCAGTTAAGCTGAATAACCTTGAAAAACTGAAAATAATAAGGAAAAATTATGATGATAATATCTTGATTACTTGTATAATTAGAATAATCAGAAACACAAATTTCAATTAGGTGATTATTTTTGTGATATTAATCAATTTAATCATAATTCTGATTTATTTATTTTACATGATACTATACAATCAATGCTCATAACTAATATTATATCAACTGAGTTAATCACTCAGCTGTAACTACAAAATATCTTAGCACTGAGAAAATCAATACTAATGGAACTAACAATATTGAATAATTTGTATGGAACACTTAACAGACTAAAAATCCTTACTTTAACTGCCTCTCAGTCTTAGAGCTTCTCTAGTTTCTCATTATTTTAATCCTTTTTTGCTTGCTTCTTTTATGATATAATCTTTTAAATAATGTTAGCATAATATTTCTTTCAAAGAATATTTCTAAAACTAGACCTAATCAGAGTATAAGTTTACATGCAAATATATCACATTAAAGTACTTCAAACAGCAAAATCATTGAATATGCCTAGTACTTTAACTTTTAGCAAATTGTCAAAAACTTTTTTTTTGTGTGCATTAAATAATATTAAAGTTTTTACAACCATCAAAAAGAATAATTTAATGACATGATGTATGTATGAAATTAATCTTTTAAAATAAAAGCTAGCATTCAAATAATAAAAGCATCATCAAAGTACATTTGCATGATTAACAACTAAATGTGCTAAAGATTATAAATTTGACTATAACCTCTCATCACACATTATGTAGCCTTAAAGTCTCCATTTTGCATTTGTTTTGGAGTTATTTATAGACAGAAGTTATATGTAAGCTTATAGTGTATGGATAAAAATATTTACCACATATTCAGAGGTTGTTTTGGACAGAATGTTATAGTCACTGAAATATTCTGTTTAAAGAGAAAGTAATTGTGTCTTTTACTTATACTCACTAGTCATTGTTAACTTAAGTAGGACTAACCAAGTAGCCTTGAATATTAAATATCTTACTTGATAGATCCAGTTGTTGAGATCCAAGTTTCCTGATTTAGACATTGAAGTTGATGGAGGAGTTGGACCAAACACAATTGATCTGTGTGCTGAGGTAATTATTGTTTTTGTCAGAATATGTAAAGCTGAGTTTGAAATTATTGAAATTCACCATATTATAAATGTCTACAGTTCTTAAAGTATAGATTAATATAGAAAAAACTAGTGACACTGGGTAGATAATACATATAATCTTCTCCAAACCTATGTTTTCCATCATTTGAGTAAAATTTTGTGTTATAATTCGAATGACAAACTAGCTCCAAAAATTCCCTAATTGATTTCTAACAGAGGTTTCACTCCACAAATTCTTCATTTTTTTCTTATATAAATCAGATGATATCCACTAATTCAGCTCATTACCTCTCGTATATAACAAAACTCTACTGTTTACTGCTATTGGTAGTGATATCTTTAACAGAAATAATTGCATTCTTTTATCCAAATATCTATTTAAAATTATACCAGTCATTTATAATATTGTAATTAGGTGAACAGGAATAAGTTGTTTATTTATTATGTGGCTAAAACCTCAAATTAATGAAGTAAAATCATCTATGAATTTGTTATTAAAGATATGTTCATGTGTTTGAGTTCTTATCAAGAAAACTTAAAACAAGTTATATCAGTATTTTGGTTACGAGTTTTGCTATCTTAGGTTATTTTTCAGCAAATGTGACTTCTGAAAATTTACACATACTTCACAACAAGATTAAAGGATACACAGAATCTATAACATGATAATTATGACAAGGCAAAAACCAATGTTATAAAATAATGTCAATCACAACACTCATTTTGTTGTTATGGAAATCAGGCATCTAATGGACACTCTTAAGTATGCTATGAAGACAGTTGGTCATTCAGCATTGATACAGGTTTATTATACAAGAAATAAACTTGTATTTAGAATAATTATACTGTAACGCTACATGTTCCAGAAGAGCTAAATCTTACAAGAGGCATTTGAGTATCATAAGATTTGTTCAGAAAAGTTTGGGCATGGTATAGAGTATTTCAAAAACTGTACAGAAAATGTTCAGTATGCTTTCGATCATTCTTAATCAGCAGATCAGGCTACTGCAATCATTGTTTTGCACAGTGATCCTCAAAATATCCTGCACACTGGCAGGCATGTTGTTCAACCACTAATCCTTTGAAAGAGAAATAAAGTAGTGCAAATCTGTAATAAAAATGATTTAAGTATGCAGTATAAAATGGTTTTGAAACACTACACCATGTCCAAACTTATTGAATAAAATTTCTCATTTCAAATATTCCTCTGATGAGTAGTGATATAATCATATTTAATCTGGGGCTTTCTTGTTAATCACCCTGTATACATAGTGGTCTTAAATAACTTTGTTTTGGTTGCCACTTTGAAGTTCACAGAGTCTGAAGTGTTCTGTATTGTTCATTCATCATTAGGTCTCAATTAAAATTTTAGAAAGTTTCATTTATGTGGCAAACCATTGGATGAGAGTGCCAGCCAATCACAGCATGTAGTTGTGAACCTTCTACAAGTATTTCAAAGCATTATTAACAGATGTGTAACCTCTTGCAAACCAAGGTTCAGTTGTTTAGAAACCTAAACAAGGCAAAACCATTATCTCCAACATGCACATAGTCAAGAACAGTTATGGCTTATTACAGTTATAAGGTAGTTGTTGCAAGACTAAATTAGATATTTGTGGCCATCAGTTACAGACAGTTAGAAACAGACTTCAAATGTTCGGCCTGTAAGCCAGGTGTCTAATGAGTTGCATCCTGTTAACAGTGAGGCATGAAACAGATTGTCTGCAACAATGCCAGGAATTCATCCAGTGGACTATTACATGTGCCAGATACAGGAATATACTTATTTGGGACCAGACCCAACTCCTTTTTTTTCTTTTTTGTACAGAATACTGACCCATATGGAGGTGACATATATGTCATGTGGACAGTATAAGCATTAGTGGACATATCGGCTTCTATATTCTGTTGAATAGTGCCATTAATGCTGCACATTATAGAGACCACATTTAACAACCTTTTGTGCTGTCATATGCTGGTACAGTTGGCACTTACTTCAGCCTAATGAATGATAAACTAACCCCCACCATACTATTAAAGCTGAACACTCTTGGAAGACACGTTTTTCTGACCAATTCTTTCATCTTTCAGATATACTTCAGGGGCTTATTAGCACTTTTATTTTAAGCATGAATATTAAATTTAGTCTGCTGTTTATGTTCATGGGGCCCTAATCTGTATTGAGGTGAAATGTAAAGATGTAAAAAGCCACTGCTACTAAATATTAATTTACAAGCATAGGGTGCATGACCAAATATATGTAGTTGAGATTACATTATGGATCATCAGATGACTAATTTGCATAAAAATGAATTGAGTGGTGATTAATATTATTATAGAACATTGTTTTTTTACTTTGCTTTGTCATGGCTAAAAAATAAAAAAAAATTGATTTATTCTTTATTTGTTTTGTGTAGTGCAGTTAGCCTTATGTTGCTAGAGTCAATTCTCATCCACTTTTTTTATCTAATGGTTTCTGCTTCCAGAACTGTAGATTAATTTTTCATCATGTATTTATTTTTATGTAATGATGCATAATCTGAGATTCAGAATTTTGAACTGAAATTGTTATATGACTGGGGATTTACATGTGAGTTGTAATACACTTGCCTTGTATCCATATACAAAATAACTTGGAGATCAGTAAATTATTAGCATATATATATATATATATTGCAAGTAGCTAAGTTATAACTATTAACATGTTCACTGCCACGTGCCCCACCAGTGGGTCACAATTGATTTTTAGTTATGGATGCATGATACATCAGTGAGTTACATATTACAGATGACTTCAATGAGCTAATTAAATATAGCAAAGTTACCCATATAAATATTAGACACCTGGGTTAAGTAAATAAAGAAAAGTGTGGTTAGCACTAGGGTATAAATTATTGATATTACTGGTGACAGTGAACGTGTTAAGGAAAGTGAAATATATTCTTTGTTTTGTTGTAAAATTACAACACACTAAGCTATCAACCTAGATCTTTTTGGTATTGTCTCTTAAAATGTCATCACTTCAAGTTTGGAAGTATCTGCTTTAACATCATGTTTCTCTTTTCCTCGGTAATGCATTTCGCTGTTGATTCAGTGTATTCAGTGAAATTCACCCATGAAGGCTGGTCCCATATATGTGCTACGTAGTTGATGCCCAGAGAAAAAGCTTACCAGTCCATTTTTTCATTAATTTCATATTCAAGATAAGCAGTGAGAGTACTTGCATTATAGGATTGAATATTATCATTTGTTAAAATCAGTTCCAATGGCACCGGTGTAAGACTTGATAGTGGTTGGCAGAATGTTATCTAATTAATACTTGAAACTGTTAGTACTTGATCCATAATTATAAAATTTTCTTTGTATTCTTCAATTTTCTAAGAATCTTATCCATTTAACACACATCAGTAGGTCCATCATAGAAAATGGTGTACACCATCAGAGAGGTCCATGAACTTCTCATACTTAGCTAATATACAGGCACATATCACTCAATCTCCAGAGTCCAGACTGTTTTCAAACTTGATGACAACTTGTGGACTTCCAGATAAAAAATAATGTCTGATATATGCTAAGGATGTGCCATAAATCTTAGTTGTACAGCAAGACAACAAGCTCTCAGACTGGTGGAATAAAACCAGTTTGTATTAGGTCTCACAGCATGTAAATCCTGACATTCCATAGCAGAATGTGGTCAGCCACTTCTTGCATGTTTTTGTACACTGTTCATTGTCTGGTAACTTGATATACAGGTTGTAAGTTACACTCTTTGTGACTTTCCAAATTCAGCAATGACAAATTTTTGTGGCATGAAAGAGAAGTTTTGTAATTTATGATTAATACTGAATATCGTCTGATCACAAATTCAAGTATCATGCTTGGGTCAGAAGATCATCCCAAAAAGCTTCACTGACTCCTTTCAACATGGAACTCATCCATGATGTAGTTTGTTGTTATATCCATTCCCTATTTTTACTTCCTGGGATCACCATCATTTTATTAATTTTTCCCTTTTCATGTTTATTAGTGAGCCAGGCATGACCTAGTGGTTAGCATGCCTAAACTCTGGATCCAAATGTTCATTTTTTGTCCCGTTACTATAAAAATGCACTCTGCACTTTTGAACTATGGGTACATTATAAGAATGACAGACAAATACCACTGTTTGATCAGACAAGAGAAGAATGTGGGTGCTGTTGAGTAGCTACCTTTCTTCTAGTTTCTCAATTTAAAATTAGAAACAGTAATGCACAGATAGTTCTGCTGTAACTTTGTGCAAAAATTGTAAACAAGTATGTTTATTAATTGTTATAGATAACTGCAAGGTTTTGGAACATATTTTGTAGTCCTTACAACCATTTTACTGGCATTATAATTTTCTCTGCTTCTCATGATAATTTTTATAGTCTGCATGGAAAAACCTGAATCAAAGGTAATGTCTTATGTTTTATTTTACTTACAAAGGAAAGAATTTGGCCTTTAGTCCACCTTAAGGTATGTTATTCTCTCTCTCTCTCTGTATGAGAAATTTTTATTTTATAGATTGCATATATTCTTCTCTGTGTAGGATATTTCTAAGTGTTTGTTTTGTATTTTCATCCTTCCAAGCTGTGAGATCATTTAAGTGGTTTCTGGTCAAGATGTGCTGATTGCCAACTTCATTGTTTGTTTCTGAAAGTAAACAATCAGATAAGATTTAAACATATTTGAATAATAAATCAAAAACCTAATAATCCAAGAACTTTGGGAAGGTGGGCCTTCATTCTTCAGTTGTGTCAGTTTAGTTTGTTTTATCATTAATTTGTTGAGTCATGGTAATCAGCAAGCCAATCTATTGTGCATACTTACATAAAGAAGATAGAGCTGATTCTGATCAGCACCCTGATATTGATTGGCAAAGATAGACAGTGTGACGCTAAGACACCAGGTTGGAAAGTTAATTCTCAATTTTTCAGTGGAGAGCATAGTGTCAGAGTGAGGTATGTCTAACATTTAGGACAGAGTGGATCTACTGGCACATTTATGTGTTTGTGTTATGTTCAGTGTCAATAGTGGTTTTCTTTAACATGGTAATATTTCAGGATTGTTGTAGGTTAGATAAAAAGTGATATATTTAAGATCTCCAGTTGAATATTGGTAATTAGATATTCAAGTTTAGCTAGCATTTAACATGTTATGATCCTAATTTGCATAAAAACCAAGATTTGTCAAATTGAAAACATAATGTAGAACACTTTAAAGATTTTATTTTTTTAAGCTCATTTATTAAAAAGCTTGATTCTGGAACATTTGCAAATTATGTCCATCAAGAACTTAATTTGTAGCACATTATTGACTGATATATAAAAGCTTTTGCTGTATATAAAAATGTTGTAAATTAGATATATTTTCTACTAAAAATATTTTTACTATATTTAGGCTGGTGCAAATATGATTGTATCTGGAACAGCAGTTACTACTAGTGACAATCCTAGACATGTTATGTCTTCTCTTCGTCACTCGGTGGAAGAAGCTATACAAAAATCACAGCTAGAACGATGAACTTCTTACTTGAATATCAAACCAAAATTCCTTGAATTTTTTAGTTAATTTTTTTATTTTTAAATTTACTGAGATGTAACTACTCATAAAAGTAAAAAAATATTAGAAGTAGATATTTGTGGAACTGGTAAGATTGTTTTATTCATGTTGTAGTGTGCAAGCTTTCTGGATATATGTATAGTTGGTTTATGTTCACTCTCTCTCAGAAATAATATATTCTTTGTGTTTTTTGTATTGAGTATAATAATTTATTTTCTGTATTAATGTTCATAGAACATACTGTGAGACAGACTAACTTATGGTTAGAAGACAAACATATATTGTACACAGCTTATGTGTGATCTACAGATTAGTAAAGTGTGTGTGAACTCTACTCAACAAAATGATTGATACAGTGAATATTTTCAAATCTCTTATTTTAATTTATTTGATTCTAGCATCACTTACAATTTTGGACATAGTTATAAGCACAAAATATAGAAATAATGCTGTGTTGTGGGTTTAGAAATGTGATCATTGATACTTGTATAGTATTACTCATTGTTGTAAAGCCATGTTTGATACAAATATAGTGTTTTACTTGGTTTGTGGTTACAATATCAATGAATCTGAGTGAAAGTTAATAGGTATCGTACACACAATGTAAAGTAGTAAAGTAGAATGATGAAGTATGTGCATGATATTAACAGAAGAGAAAGTATATATGTAAGCAATTAGTGTGATAATTGAATCCTGTGTAGAGTATGTGTACCCCATAAGATATAATGTTAATTTAGGCCTTCTAAAGACTTATTAGTGATAGAGAAACTAAGGTTGTATTTTTTAGGTTAATTGCTTCAGTAATGGCTATGTACACTTGTTAATACAGAATTAAATATATACACCATACAAAGGTTTCACTTGATTAGTGAATATCTTACCTCAATATGGAATTATAACTTCATTATTAAAACACAAGATAAATAGTACTTTGTACCAGTTAAAATTCTTGCTTCAATGAAACACCCAAGTTACCTTTTTTATATTACAATTTAAGCATTTTTAGTTGTTCAGTAATCTGTAATAAAACAAAGATCTGTTATTGGCTTAGGAGTGTAACTTTTGATTTGATATAGTTGCAATGTAAGGCTCTGTAAGTCATGTAAAAAATGCTTACAATATTAAAGGTAGATGAATCAGCAGAAACTTCACTAGTAATTGGTTTGTAACATGAAGCATAAGTTTGAGTAATTAAATCTAACTTTTCAGCCTTGGTATGTTTATAATCTGCTTCCACCTTTTCTTTTTTGTTGTTGTTTTGACCAATCAGCTTTAACGAGTCTAACACGCATACACTTGCATGGCAACCAACATTTGATGGTATATCATAATGGAATTTTTATGGTTTATTTATAATATGTGCCGTGAGACACATGATTGAATTGTCTATCATGAGAGCACTTGCTGATATTTCTGCTGGAGTACACACAAGAAACTGTATTAGCCAGTGCTTATGTCTTTATCTTCACTCTATTTTTGGATTAGTAATAGCATTTATAGGCCAACAACCACACTAATAAATGCTGTTGCTTAGGTGTAAGTAGTGTTTCTCCTTCAGCTCTTTGGTTTACTATTCTAAGTAGTTTAATTTCTCTTGCCTTAGGCTATATCAGTCAGCCATATCTCAAACTATGATTTCTATATATATATATATATATATATTCTGAACTAGTTCTGTTGCTGTTTTACTTGAGTAGTAATAAGGATGATTTTTTTTAATTTATCAGTGCTATACATAGATTTTACATGAAAATTAAAATAAACATTTTTAGGTAGCTCTCCCATTAAAGTTTAGATCCTCATTTCAGCTGAGGCTTCAGCCTGGCTAGCCTATTCATTTTGAAGTTTTCAAGATTGCTAAATCTGGGAAAATAAAAAACATAACTTAGAACTGAGTGGTGAAAACATTTAGAAGTTGTTGTTGTTGTTTTTTTTGCACAGTGCAAAGAAACTAATACTTAAGGGTATAAAACTTACAAATGCAATGTTTAAAAGTGTGCAATTCCAAAGCATTGGAGAGTTTTGCTGCAACTTAGACTTTAGAGGAACATCCATGAAAAACATACAGGAGATTAGCATCATTCAAGGAATTTCAATATCAAATAAACTCAAACATATTCATAAGTAAATATAGAACATTAGGTTGCAATCAATATTAGAGCTGTTCTACAACAGTTACAAGGAAGTAGTTTACATCACAAAAAATACAGCCAGTGATCCTAATATTTCCCTTTGTGAACATGGGCATTCATTTAAACATTATAAAGGATAAGAAACAACAATAAATAGGACTTTTTAAAATCTAAGCTAGTTTTTACAAAGAAATATGACTGTTAAGATTTTATCATAAGTAAGTGTGAAACATAAAGATGAGTCTATAACAGTGTTTGGATGTTTTTGTGCTGCAAGAGTGGGAGATGAGGCCAAAATAAAAAAGTAGAATCATAGCATTTTGGTTCATCATACAGTACACCGGACAATGGTTATTTAATACTGGCTTTAAATTTCAACAACATATTGATCCAAAATAAACTGAGGTGTTTAAAGGGGAAGGAAAGAGTTAGTGATATAAATGCTATTAAATCATCAAGCCAAAGTTCCAATGCTAATCCAATGAACTTTTTAGTAGCTATAAAGTAATTTTACAAAAGCCAACTAATTTATGACAAAACTGAAATAGTAAACAGCAAAAATGAAAAACAAAAATACCAGTTAACAGTTATGTCCCAAAGAAAAAAATAGTGGTGGCATCCATGTCTGATTGATGTTGTCAGTTAGGTAAGACTAGTGGAAGACTTTTTAGATATTGATTATTCGGTTCAGTATGTTTCAAGTTGAAATTATTGTACCTAATATCATAGTACTGAATATAATATACATGTAGTGTGAAAACAGTGCAACACATTTCTTTTAAGTAATTGTATAGGTCTGCTTAATTACAAGAGATCCAGTCCAGATACTGACTACGAAATAATGCTATATTTCTGAGTACCTGAGATTTGAGGATGAATGAAATAAAGTGACATGACACAAAATGAACAATATATTTATGTCACATAAACACATTGTGTAATTGCTTCTCATTTATGATGTTGGATAGACAATCACTTCATCTGTAACTTCTATATTCAGCTATTCAAACTGAATCCATGTATGAAACTAAATCCAATGTTCCATAGTTAGCAAGAAACTTTGCATTTACCCAACATGATTAGTGCTACCCCTACCAAAAGTTATTCTTATTCACATTATTCAAACATGTGTGAGATCTAAAATAAGTAATCACTAACAGAAATGGGCTGAAAAAAAATTATATATCAATATATTGAGACCACTTCTGCCATAGTGACAACAAGCCATACAGTAGGAGATTCCACTAGTGTATGGATGTCACAATTAGCACCTTGAGAACCCTGGTAAGAGAAACTGATGGAGTCACATCTAGCATGGGTGGTCCTATGCAGCAAGGTAACGTGCAACCAGCAATGCTTAAGGAATATAGCACAGATGTGTGTAACCTATGGCACTTGTGCTTTTTCTGAGGCAAACTGTCAGCAAGAGAAGTATTCATCTAATCTAACTGAGTGGCAAGAACTGTATGAAGAATATCACATAATCCATTCTAGATCTTTTTCAGTACACCTGTAAAGGCATATAACTTCATGGAGAATTGTGTTTTGGCAGTATTTCAACTTAGTGTCTACAATCCAGATGTTCAACAAATAGACCTGGTTTTGCCATTCAACAAGACAATCAGTATGTGTTACCATGTTATAAGCCAGGGAATAATGTATAAGAAATCATTCCCCTGCAAATGTGTTATCCATTGTTTTTTTAAGTTTGTCGACCACTGCAGTGACACATGGTCCACTCATACATTGAACTTTCTACCATACAAGTAGTGCCAAAAGTGTGTGATGAAGACTATTACTGCAAGTAGTTTTTTATTTGTTGTACAGTATCTGCGTTAAGAAGCCGTATATGTATGACTTGAAAACAATTGCATGTTCTACTTCATCATGCAATTGCAACAACATTACTCCAATTTTACTATCCTTAGTGTTTAGCAGGTACTTGAAATCTTAACATGGATATGCCAACACGGGGCAGGGGGGCTTATACTAAAACACATTAGGGACTGGAATACTTGTTCACATTCCTCATTCCATCTGAAGTGAATCTCCCCCATTAGTAAGAGCTGATAATGATAAGGTAATCTTGGAGAAATTGGCCACAAGTTGTCAGTAATATGATGGAGAACCAAGGTAATCTTGAATGTCTCATTTGATCACAGATTAAAGCCAATCATATATTACTACTATTTAAGCAGGATGCATGGAGATTCCTTCTCTACCCACAATATAACCAAGAAATTCTACTTCTTTGAGCATGAATACACATTTCAGCTTCATGCCTACTTTTTCAGGTTCTCAACTGCAGACTTAAAGGTGTGACCAAACATCAAGATATCCTTGAGTTCATTCACTCACTTCTCCCATTACAGCTCCTTCAATGTAACTCCACTAGCCTCTCAAAAGTATCGGGCATTTTACAGGCCAAACAGCATGATGAAAAACAGAAACAACTCATTTCTATTGCTGAAAGCAGTCTTAGGTCTGCCCTTGTCATCCACCTTGGCTTGCCAATATCTAGATTCCAAATCTAACATTGAATATATGGGCTCCTTCCAATGCACCCAGACATTCATCTGTTCCTGGTAATGGAAAGGCATTAATGTGAGTAATTGCATTCACCCCTCTAAAGTCCATGCAGAACCTGGGTGTACCATCTTTCTTCCTCACAATCACTAACAGATATGACCAAGCACTTTCTATCCTTTAACATGTGTTACATTTCAATGATGGCTACATCCATAGTATTCCAAGGAATCCTGTATTATGTGCAGTGCACAGGGGCCCACCAAGCCCTAATCTAATTAACTTTAAAAAGTCTGCTAGTGAACAGTGGCAAACTGAGAACATCAAATTTTTCAGAAAGACTGTGATGTCAGCAACTACTGTTCTGCCAGTCATCTTTTGAACATGCTCTGACCTGGCTCCGTGACCAATCTATCCCACACAAGGGCCCACAACAAAGTTTGGCCACTGCTGGAATGATCAGTTATGTAACTACATGCTGGGATAGTCATTGGCATGGTAAGTAAAGTAGAAGTAACTGATGCTAACAATAAATACTAGAGTTGTAGCTGTCATGCTGTATACAAAACAAATAGTGGACACCCACAGATCTAAGATTGCTAGGTGAGGACTGTGCAGACAATACAGATTTAATGCAGCAGCGTCTCAGTGACCAACTGGGTCAAACAGTCACAGATCACAGAGATACAGGTTGATGCACATACAATTAGAAACCTATATATGGTAAGCACAGAATCATCCATAATTGCAGAACAACACTAGATTTCATCCCCCTTGGATAGATAATAACTGCCTGAGGTAATGCTACTTGGTTTCTGAATAAAAAACAGCCTATTTCATGTCTGAGTTCTATAACCATGGCACAGATGCATTTAGCTTTGTACACTCATGTGTATAAGGGTACTGTACTTCCTTTCTGACATACACTCGGGCAGTTCACTGTTCCTGCGGTTGATCTACCTTGACATCACATAACTCTGCCAAGTACATCCATTCCAAGAATATGGATATCAGAACCAAAATCGGTGATGACTACTTTCATTCTGTAAGGGAAACCTCAATATAGTTGGAACATAATCTCTCCATTCACATCAAATTTATCTTCATTCCACAAAACAAAGTTATTGTCAATTAGCACAAGTGTTGGTTTTGCTCAGAGAGACTGGTGTACTGTGGATTTACCAGCATTCTGGCTGCTCATATATCAACCAGAAAATCTATCTCTCGCCCTTGTACTTTAACAGGCACACACCAAGACCCGACCAGCCCTGAGACAATTGGGCTGACCACCATACTTTTTAGTACAAGTTGTTTCCTGGAGTTGAAGCAATAGTATTCACTGTCTGCTGTTGGCTCTCCTACACTGTTGGTTGAAGCTGATAGCCTTGTCTACCATTGCTGGTCTGCAACATATGGGCAGTTCATTAGAATGTACTCTAATGTTTCATGGGAGGACCTTCATAGTATTGGTCATTCACTGGATACCAGTGTGTTTGCATCAAGCCCCCATGAGTGCCTGGGTATGATTATATGTCCAAAGTTGTTGTTTTTTGTTGTTAAGCACAAAGCTACAGAAAGGGTTATCTGTGATCTGCCCACCACGGGTATCGAAACCCGGTTTCTAGCAGTATAACTCCATAGACATACTGCTGTGCCATTGGAGTGCATGTCCAAAGTAAATTCACTGCAGCTGTCACTACAGTCTTCTAACTCTCTTTCAACTTGTTCAAAGTTATCACTTCATGTCAAATTGTGACAGAAACTACCTCAATAAGAGTGAGAAGGTCTTTCACACCTAAGTGATACCACATCACCACACTAGGTAACCTTTCCACAAACTTGTCAATAAGGATATCCCTATAACGTGTTAAGTCCATTGTTGGGTAAGCCATATCATGTAAATGTCACAGACCACCCCCATAATCTGTCAAGATTTGAATTTGGCCCAATGGATTGCCATATTTTACACCAGGTCGAACCTCTGGTGTAACTCTGGAATTACTTATCTTGGAGTTTCACACTTGCTTCTCATTCAAGTACACGGTGGAGTCTAAGGCTGTACCATCTAGACTCAGAATCAGATATTGTACAACTGTTCCAGAGTCCAACCATTTTAGTCAGTTACAAGCCTGAATAATTTTAGAAAATGGTCAAAATCCTCCTTTGGTATACCATTGAAGGTTGAAGAATTGTTCTGTTTCACCTCACTCATGGAGATCCATGATTGTGACCAGATGCTCTCCTTCATGATTTCTTTGTCATCACCTGACTTAGATAATCTGAACGTCATGGGCACAGCATTGTAAGTGCAACCAGGTACACTAACACTGAAGATGGAGATCCCTGCTCAAAAATGGTAAGCGTTTTTGACGTCTATCTTGCTATAGCTGACAACTCAGGCAGAAGAGCTGCTGATGTCTGGTGCTCTCAGAATGGTTTTCCATGCTCCGTTCATGAGAATCAATCTAATTGTAAAGGAAAAATGGGTGATTGGGGATCATTACAGTGTCAATCTTATGAGTCTGAGACTAAGTGGGGCAGTTTTTATAAGATTTTCAGATTTATGTCAGCTAGAGTAATTCAATCCTGGCTTTGCTCGAAGCTGCCCACGAAAATTGGAGAGATTGAAGGCACCCTTTGTGTATGATATTCATCAACAAAAGCTACCACATCAGCAGGTGAGATAGTGGACACCAAATGGGCTACGGGGAAGTGGTGAGCCTCTACAAGTCGGAGGAGCCTGAAGTCATGCTGCCAAAGGTACCCCTTTCATTCACAGCATCAAGAAAAGTTTCATATTCCAGATCAAGTTTTTACTCTTTTATTTAACTTTAACTATTGTGACTTACAAATCATCAGCTTCACTTGGTTTAGTTAAAATAGTATACCACTAACAACATGAAGTTAAAAATTGTGAATACTGAGTTTTGACATTCAGGTACTCTGATGTTGAGGAGATAAACCCAAGTTCTCAAAATATTCAAGTTCACGACTGTTAATCAAAGAATATAATAAACACAGGCAGTAGAGAAAAACAAGAAAACACAGGTGTAATTTTAAACAAAATTCTTTATTATATAAATAATAGTGTTATGCCACCTAAACTGGCTAGGCTTCTTTTCCTGTATCATCTGGCTGTTGAGGTTGATAAGAGAGTTGAAAGAAAGCTACAAAAAGGCCAAGAGCAAGAAACAAAATTATAAAAATACCTGACTTGAATATTGTAGTGAAACAAAAACTCGGTTATCCTGCAAGTCCACGTGTTACATATTTCAACCAATATTCAACACATAATCTTAAGCCAAACCAGATGTACAGATTTCTGTATTGCCTGTTTGACTACACTCCAGCTATTCCATACAGAAACATATACATGCTAACTAGCTTGGGACAGTATGAAGCCTTTACCTGTCAAAAAGAATTAGCAGATGTTTACAACCTTGAAACATCCAGTCAATGAGAATGTCATAACTACATGCAAAAACTGTATAGAAATTTAGAAAAGAAATTACCTGAATAAAGATATGTTCTGTAATAGTTATATGGAAGGTGAAATTCATGACTGCTTCATTCGTTACAAATTCATGTTTGTAGCCATGTACAAAGGTCTTTGGTTTCTTTCTGGATAATTGGATTTCAATTACCAGAGATTAGTTTTTACACTGAAGTGAACATGGTGAAGAAAGACTTATGTTTTTCTATATATAATTTGTCTGGCTGACTGGGCTATAGGAAGGAAAGCTTTGTTAACAGCTATGTTCCTTGATACTAACTGAACAGTGATCAAACATAGTAGTTAACTCCTGGTTATTTCAACAACATGTCATTTGTTTATATACACTCGATAAAGGCTAAGTTAAAAGGTTACTAGAAAAATACTTCAGTGATCTTGTATACTTCAAGTATAAGTAAAAGATAAAGGTTCATTTTGAAGAATATATGGTATGAAGATATACTACACGTTTCCTGTGCAATTATTGAACATAAGGTTTTCCTTTTCAAAATGTTCAAGCATACATATTTATATAGTTTTATCTATCGAACTTGTTCAAAGAAGTAGCTAAATTCCTTTCACACTTGCTACCTATTCTTCTAAATCATTAATTTGTGGTATTACATGCAATTTTTCGTGGGAAATATTCTGTAAGGTTAAACATACTATGTAAAGTGGACAATATTATTTTACACTGGTAGCACAGGCGATACATTGAGGATACATCGTCCCTTATTTTTCGATGGGAATTATCAATAGTCACGTGAATAGAGTATGAACCTTGAAAAAACATATTTTCTGGTGTATATAATGTTATTTTTTCTAATTCTGGAATAGGTTCTTTTCTTCCACGCAGATATATTTGGAAACACCACTAAAGGTATCCTCCTTCATAAATACATTTTATTTCTGTATTGAATAAAGCTTGTTTCGCTTGATTTTCTTTGTCTTCGGTCTTTTTCTTTGCTCATAACTCACTTTAAGAAGAGGATTCAGATTTACTTCATAATACATTTTCTGCAAAACTTATTATTGTGCAGATCCTACCCAATTTCTCATAATGAAGACTAGTGCACCTGAAGATGCCATATATATAATGCGGTGTTTTTAATTTTATTATAATCTTGATTTAAAGCAGATTCGCTAACCAAACTTGAATGTTCTTAAAAAGTAGTACACGTCCAAAAACTGTTTTTTGTTAATATGTGTTTAGTATTTTGTATTATATTATAAATTAAAATCTGATTATATAAATATATGTGTTTTATTAAACCTTAATATTTGGCAGTGTATTTGTTGCTTTCTTTTTTTATCAACTTGAAAGGCACCTAATTCGATATAGAAGCTAAGTGGGCATGTCAGAAACCCCAATATCGAGGCATAGCTATCCCTAATACAGAACTGCTAACTAGAGGGAGGGCAGCCAGCAGCAACCAACATTTACGTAACTACTTTTAACCGTATGGCGGTCCTAACTGTCAAAACTGTAATAACCCACAAATAAAAGTGCAGAAGTTGTTTAGCGGCATACCATATTTCAAATTTTGTACCTTCCAACGCGCAATCTGGTATAGTTAACCTTTAAGCTGTGCCCTTCCATCGAACCTTAGTTCATTAAAGTTTAACTTCATGTAGTAAGACCGATTTACATATAATATAAATCTGTGGTTAAGACTTATCGTTTTCAGTCGGAGGAAAACTACGTTGGATGGGGTGTCTTGGGTTCCTTATCTTAGGAAAAACATCGAATTGTTGGAAAGTGTTCAGAGAAGGGTGACTAGAACTGTGCCTGGAATGGATGGGTTTTCATACGAGGAGAGGCTGAAATCTCTCAAAATTGTGTTTGGTATTTTGTATTATATTATAAATTAAAACTTGATTACATAAATATATGTGTTCGTTATTGAACCTTAATATTTGACAGTGTATTTGTTGCTTTGTTAGAGGGGATTTGATTGAGGTATTTAAGACTGTAAAGGTAATTGAGAGTTTCATGGATTATCTTTTTTCATATTTAACAGTGAGAACAGTAGGAGTAGGGGACACAAATATAAATTTTGGCAAGGTAGGAGTCATCTTCAGCTAAGACAGTGTTACGACAGCGGAAAGCACGCGACGCTGGGAGCATGCGCGCTGGAGTTTCTAGAAGGATCATGACTTATCGAGGAACTCCGCGAATATCCGAATGTTTGCCAGGCGCCCTCTTTTTTTGG